GTGTGCATGTGTGTTCATGAGTGTGTGTGTGTGTGTGTGGTTGGATGGTGTGGTGGGGCCACGTGGGGTGAATGAGTGGAGAGTGAAAAATGACCAAATTGCCCGTAGTGTGTGGTCAAATGTGTACATTTGACCACGATAAATTCACTTATTTATAAAATTGTCATTATATGTTTGACTGTCATTACTAAAATTTGACTTGATCTTGACCATTAATATAATAGATACAATGATAGACAACTATTCTTATTTCTTTCACTGTCTACATTCTCATTTAAGCACACGTTATGCATACAAACACACACACAACACACACACACACACACACACATATATATAAATATATATTAATTCACTATTTCTCTATTCATATATTTAACTATTCAACACATTCAATCACTTATCTCATACTTTACATCACATCAACAATAATCAGTACATTTTAAATATTATTTAAATACAATCTCAAAATCCTACTTAATTATCCGCTCAATCAATTTATTAAAATAACTCACTTTATCCAATAAATTCAATCAAAACCAAAATATTTTATATCCATCATCCTCTATCGATGTGACTGGATATTCGAATATCTAGTTAGATCTGACTAATTTTTTTTTATATAATTTTTAATTCAAAATCCAACTCAATTTTAGTCCAACTCAACTCTTCTCAATATTACCAACGTAATTAAATAATATCAATCAATCATTGTCATACATCACATTAACTTTAATTGATTATTCTTCCACTCAAATAATTTTAACTAGACAACTTTTACGGGAGCTTTATGAGGTTTGTAAACTCAAACCTCAAAAGTTTAACTATTATATTTGGCAAGTTTAATGTTTAAAATATTGAATAGGCATTGTGAATACAAACCTCTTAAAAGACTAACCAAAAAAAAAATAATAATAATAAAAAAAAAATAAAGAGAAAGAGAAAGTAAAGCATTGGAGCATGTACGTTTTCTTGCTTCTTTTTCTATGACAAAATTCTTGTAAAAATATTAAATTTAAGTTTAGTTTTTGTTAATGATTGAAAAATTAAAGTTTTATAAATTTTACGAAAACCAAAAATTTTGAATTTCTAAAGTAATATTTTTTTATTAAACAAAGTTTTGATAAATATAATTAACTTAAATTTAACGAGTAATAAATAAATATTTAAAGTGAAATATTAATAAAAATAAAAAAGTTGAGTTATAGTTTAATTAAAAAAATTGGAGTTAGTGATAACTCGAAAAAAAAATGAAAGTGATTAATTGAATAAAAAACGAGTTGCATGTTGTCGAAAAAAAAAATTAGAAACGAGGTATTTTCGAAGAAGAACGAACTCTAACAAAGTTTGTTTGTAAATGAAATAAGTAAAACAAGGTTAGCTAAATTATGTTATCGTGTATCATTTTACATGACATGATAATTGATGGCGAAGGCGTAGAGGCCAACTGGTGGAATGATGATGGGAACCACCAGCGCTGGCGCGTGAAGAGGTGTCTCAAAATTTTCGACGTTACTTGCATATAAAAGCTGAGGTGCAAGACAGATTAATCCACACAACTTGGTTGAACATGTTTTGAATGAACACACTTCCCACAGTGATAATTAAAAGAAAAAAAAAAATTGTACTCAAATGTTAGTTTTCAACGTTGTGTAAGATTCATGTCTCTTAATTTTTTTAAGAAAAACTTTACATTGTTACGCAATTAACATTCTATAATTATAAATAATATAATATAATACTATCTCTTATTTTTAATATATGTCGTTTTGAGAAGTTGCACGTTAATTAAAAATATTTTTTTGTCAATAATAACCTTATTTAATGAAGATAGAGATGAATGTTTTGAAGAAAAAATGAAGAGTGAATATGAAAAGACGTAATGTATTTATTGGCTAAATGAGGGTAATAATGGAAAAATATGTACAAAAAATCCAAAACGACATTTATTTGACAAATAGTTGATAAAGCTAGAATGACATTTAAAAAAAATAGGAGTGAGTATTATATAATTACATTAACTTTTTTATATATATTTATGATAAATATATGAAACATTTAGGTTGAATAAAAATAAAAAGTGAAGTTATAATTTTAAAATATTACTGAATATAATAGTATAATGAGTAATGCTATAGGTACATAATATTATACATAGGTGTGTACATAACACTCACATTGAGTGAGAACCATAAAAAATAAAAAATTACGTAGACCCCACCCTATGTGAGTGTTATATACATTTCTATGTACATTTATTATGTACTTGTAGCATTTTTTTCTTAGAGATTTATGAGTGTAGAAGTAAGAATAAAGTTTGAGAAATTTATACTCCATACCAAACATTATTTTTTATATTACAGATATACATTCAATATATATTTATTTACAAATCTACCACATATACCATAATTATTTGTACATATACCAGATTTTTAACATCTGTCAAATTATGGAATGTTATAATTAATGATTTTCTCCTTAATTATTGGAACAAACCTCTCCATATCCAATTTCACGCCAATAACTGGCTCGTCTCCTTCACCTCCACAAGAAGATGAGGCCGATGTGCAACCACCCTGGTTTATGCATCTGCAGGTCGTATCTAACCTCTCCTGCAAGGGTCGATGTGAGCGTGCTTTTATAGATGAAGTGTATTTGGATCTTACTGAAACTTCAGAAGTTATCAATTTGAAGATTTTGATCAAAATCTCTCGAGATGGTGGCGGCGAATTTGAAAGCAGAGACGATGAAACTTATGGAGAAGCGTAGCGGAATAGAGGCGAAGATCAATGTCATTATCGAGAACCTCTACCGGCCCGGCGACCCTGGCCTCGCCGGCAACCTTCTCGATCATGAGGGTTTTCCGAGGTCGGACATTGACATCCCTCCTGTGAGAGCAGAGCGACATAGGCTTCCCGAACTCCATAATGATCACAAGGATATTACAGATAAAATAGAACAAAACATTCAGCTTTTGCATTCTGCAAAACTTGCTCCAGCAACTGCATTCATTCAGGATTCAGATCATAAAAATCAAGATGCAAATGTTGGCATGTTGGGGAGAAATCCGAGTCTTGTAAATAGCGTCTTCTGCCACTTGAAATACTAATTGCAGATTTGCCAAGAGGGGAGCTTTTCAGTTTCGTTTTTGAATGGACAAATTACTGTAAGCTTCAAAAACATTGTTGGGTATATCCGAGTATATAACGGAAGTAACTTTTCTCTGGTTATCTGGTTATATGTTGGGTATATCCGAGGTAACTTTTCTCTCTATCCGAAATATCTTTTCTCTTTCTATGCTATACACTTTGTCACTGACTTTCTGCACATGTTACACATTTTTAATATATTTGAAGTATATTTTTGGTGTATGTCAGGTAATAATTCCCACCCAAAATTTCGGTATATTAGAAGACATAATTTTTTCGGTATAAAAATTTCACGTCCTCCTTTTTTTTGGTATATTTTTGCGTATATTTCCAGTAAAAAAAAAAGAAGACATCATTTTTTATTGTTCAGTATATGTTGTGTGTATATGGAGTATATGTTCAATATATGTTCAACGTATTAGAATATTTGTTTCTAAATGGAATATAAGTAAATGTTATAATATGTTTATATATACTTTTATGTATAAAAGTAAAAAAAAAAAGATATAATTTTTTTGTGGAAGACATGTTTTTTATTGCACATATACTGAATACATATACTAACATAAACTCAAAATATACCACCTGGCGGCTGCGTGAATTATAATATTGCAACATACACTGAATATATACTAACATAAACTCAAAATATACTACATGGCGGCTGCTTAAATTATAATGCACAATTTGCGTGAATTAAGAAATTAATAAATGAATCGTTATTATTTTTTTTTCTCTCTCTTAATGAAGTCCACAAAAAAGGGAATGAAAGTTGAATATATACAGTAACTTATTTAAGCATTAATGTAGTTATATATTACATTTTAGGTAGATGTGTAATTATTTGTTTATAGATTATATTTTTGTAATATTTTTAAAATCTTGGTGGATAGGTTAAAATTTCCCTATGTACTACTGATCCATTATGGATCCATTACTTTTGATTTGGTTGAAGTGAAAAGTGATTAAAATATTATTCTAATTTTAAGTAAATGAACAATCTAATTTGATCAATTGAGATTTATCATTGTTGGATCACACGTACTTACACATATCTAAGTAGGTGTGTTAATCCACCAATATTAAATCCTAGTTGGATAGAGCGAGAAGAAATTAACCATTCGAGTTGGATCAATTTTTACAACAGATCAAGCGATTTTCTGGTTTCAAAACAACGTCGAGAGTCAAGACGGTCTACTTCTAGTCTTGATAATAGATATTAATGAGTTCGAGCCTTAATTATGTTAAAAGCTTAAAGAATTATATAAGAACCCCTATTTCAAGCCTAAACCTTGAGCTCGGCTCCTTTATTAAACGAGTCTAATCGAGCTTTCACAAACAACTCATTTCTTTTAACAACATATTAACTCTTCAGGTTTAGGTATTTCTAGTCCGTTTGGTTTTCAAGCAGGTCCAACATTGATTATTTTTTTTAATATGATTTTAGCCTATTCTATGACACAAATATGAATTTTTGTCATACATTGTTTTTGGACTAACCGGTTCTGTCTTGACTAAAATTGAAAAAATAAAAATGTTTACAGGTTTCATTAAATTTTCATTTATCTATATTCTATCCCATTACTTTCGACCGAGATGATAAAAGGTGTTGAACTTTCCAATATTAATTTTATTTTCTATGTCTAGCCTATACATCTCGTTTGTACTTGGGAAAACTCGGTGATAAGTTAGGTTATATTTGGTAAGTAAAATAAGCTAATTTATAGTTTATTTTGTTAGTTTATAAGCTTCTTGTATTCAAATAAGCCTCGTTTGATAGGATGAACTTTTTTTTTAAAGTTCGAGCTTATCTCATAAGCTACTTTAGGTAGTTTTTTATGATCTCTTGTTTGTACACAAGATATTTTTATAGGTCGGATTCAAATAAAAATAAGTTTTAGTTTTTGTGTACGAATGTGCACAACGAAAAAATTGTTATATTTCAACGCGAAATTCTACGCTGATATACGCATATGATGTTATTTTTACTAGTGTTGATACCCGTGCGATGCACGAGGTATACTATAAATTAATATTTTATTATTCAAATATTGTAAATTTATTTTAGACAACATGGTAATTATATCCGACTCAATATATCAAGTCAGTAATAATAAAAATTTTGTCTGAATTTTTTTTTTTAATTTATTTGTACATGTTTTGACTATTTAATATAAATATTACAATTTATAAGTTTATAAAATATCAATATCTAGATTTTAAATATGATGTTTGTATACAAATTATTTATATACACTTGTAAAATTACTGATTATCTTGATCTTATAACTTTTTCAACAATTCATATTTTGCATATTGCTCGATAGCTAAATAATGTTATAACCCGTAAAATTTAATTTTCGTTATTATAATTATAGATGCATGAAATATTAATTGTTTGATAATTAAATTTAAATTGTAGTAACTTTAATTGCTTATTATTAGAGAAGCTAATCTTAATTATGCTTCTAATGATCTGCATGGCTTTGGTGAAGGACTGCATGAGCTGCAAAAGGACCCCTCACAGAAACAAACAAGAAGCTGGTTTGTTGTAGGACAACATGTCATTCCCATGCAAAGGAAAAAGGACTAAAAGCATGTGGGATTCCCTCAAGGTGAAACCGATTTTACCTGTGACATCACCATGATGTCACACACAAAAGACAAAGCTGAGAGAGGATAGAATTTGCCAATGATTTTCTCCCTTGTTTTCAGTAGTTCCAGATTATTCCTTTGAGTTGTATTTAAAGGCTGAAAAATGCCATATTGTAGCAGTGAGAAAAAAAACAGAGCAATGACTAATGAAAATCAAAGTTCATCTCTTTCATGTTGTTTAAGCTTTTTCATTATGGTATCAGAGCCCCGGGTTTAAACCCTGGGGCCTGATCTTCAAACAAAATCATTACCTATCTCCTCCATAACCTATTAGCCGTTCCATCATGAGTACTACCTCAGATATCACATCAAACCCTCATCAAATTCTGCAACCCTTAAGTCAACTTATCACTGTGAAGCTGAATGAGAGCAACTATATCATTTGGAGATATCAAATTCTTGCAGCTGTGAAAGGATATGGTTTAGAGGGATATCTTACTGGCCAAGAAAAAGGACCAAGCAATCCCTACAACCAAGATGGAAGCCCAGATCCACAATACAGCAACTGGATCAAGCAAGATCAGCTTCTTGTATCATGGTTACTCTCATCTCTCTCTGAAGGCATCTTGATCACAGTGGTAGGACTCAGCTCTGCTCATGAAATTTGGACCACTCTGGAGGAGAGCTTCTCAAGTCAGTCGAAAGCTAAGATCTTGCAACTGAAGGAACAACTCCAAACCAGCAAGAAAGGAAACCAGCCCATGAGAGACTATCTCAACAAACTCAAGAGCATTTGTGATGCACTTGCTGGAGCAGGATACAAAATATCTCTGGAGGATCATCTTCTTCACATCATGGCAGGTCTTGGCCCAGAATATAATCCCATTGTGGTCACCATAACCTCTAGGACGGATTCCATGTCAATAGCAGAAGCTACTTCACTTCTACTCACCTTTGAAGCAAGGCTTGATAGATTTAATCAAAGCCAAATCAGTGTTGAGGGATCTATGCCTACAACCAACTTCTCAGCACAAGGAAATTCTCATAGAAACTTCACTGGTAATAGAGGAAGAGGATCAGATAATATGTCTGGTTATGGTAGAAATGGAGGAAGATCTGGCAGAGGTAATGGTAGAGGAAGAGGAAGGTTTAATAGAGGTGCAAGATGTCAGATCTGTCATAGAAATAACCATACAGCTGAGAGGTGCTTCTACAGGACTGATCTTGGTTATGTTCCACCCAACAATAGCAACACCAACACTCTATCATTCTCTCAGAATCAAATAAATAGCAACCTTGCTGCAGTAAACCAGGTCTCAACTCAAAATGTTGCAGGAGCTGTGAGTGATACCACTTCAGAAACATCATGGTATCCTGACTCAGGTACTAACAGCCACATCACCTATGATTTCAACAACCTCAATCTTGGGTCAGAATATCAAGGGTCAGAGAGAGTCCACACGGGTAATGGCACAGGTTTGTTGATTTCTCACTTTGGTAATTCTATAGTTGGTCCTTCAGGTTCAGCTCATATCTTTCTCTTAAAAAACCTGTTGCATGTCCCTAGTATCAAAAAGAACCTCATAAGTGTTTCCCAATTTGCAAGAGACAATAAGGTCTACTTTGAATTTCATCCTAATCATTGTGTTGTGAAGGATCTGGGGTCAGGACAAATCCTTCTCAAAGGGAAGGTTAAAGATGGTCTCTACAACTTGAAGCTTTCAAGGTCTCATGATATTCCAGGCAGCATCCATCCATCAGCACAAAATAAGAGGCAGATTTGGGTAAATTCAGCAGATCATAGAACTAGACTTGATGTTTGGCATAATAGGTTAGGTCATGCTTCCTATGATGTTGTAAGGAAAGCATTGCAAAATAGTGGTATAGCTTATGCTGATATTGAGGAAAGTCATGTGTGTGAAGCTTGTATGAAATCCAAGAGCCACAAACTCCTTTTTGCTGATGCTGAAATAAAAAATCTTGATTTGTTTGAGTTAGTTCATACTGACTTATGGGGACCATCTCCTCTTGTTTCTGTCAATGGATTCAAATATTATGTTTCATTCATAGATCATGCCAGCAGACACACATGGATATATTTGCTTAAACTGAAATCTGAAGTTGCACTGTCTTTATTCACTTCAAAAAATATGTTGAAACTCAGTTTGGAAAGAAAATTAAGTGTGTGCAAAGTGATGGTGGGACTGAGTACACAACCTTAAAGAATTTCTTTTCTGAAAATGGAATCATGCATAAGATTTCTTGCCCTTATACTCCAGAACAGAATGGCTTAGCTGAAAGGAAGCATATGCATGTTGTTGAAGTGGCTCTCTCATTGCTTGCTAAATCTAATGTTCCACACAGA